TTTCTCTATCCTCGTCACTACCCGCCCCCCCCCTCCGCCCTTCGAAATCTGTCTCTGTGATTCCCCCATAACTGGCACCGCCTCCCACGTCCCCAGCCCCAGGGGCAGTACCCTCTCCGGCCCCAGTAACTAGAATAACTGTGGACCTTGGTAGAACTTAGGCAGATGGAGACAAAGTTAAGTTGTCACCTCCCGGCAGCCTGGGGCCGCGCCCTGACTTAACCGGTGGGCCAGCAACAACACGGGCAGGGACGCTGGGTGCCTCCTGGCCTGCGGTTCCCCATTTTTGCATTGAACTAAACCCCATTCAGACTGAGCTCAGCAGAGAACCATGCCTGCAGGCAGTGAGCATCAGAACCACCCGGGATGCTGTTCAAAGTCGATTTCCGGTGCCCCCTCCCAGTGCAGGGGAGACGTGGTGGGCTTGAAAGCAGGACTGGTAACAAGAGTCCTTCACACTCCCAACAATTTTGAAACAAAACTACACTTGGAAAAAATGCTGGCCTGGGTTTTCACCGAAGTTTCCCTGGGCTCCAAGTACCCCACCCTTTCAGCCAGGGTGGTTCCACTTTCATCTGTCTTGTATGCCAAGGTTCTTTCTGTGTTTAGATTTCTGCTAAAGGAAGTCATAAATGTGCTGATGGGAACCCAAACCTAGAGTTGCAGGTGGCAGACTTTGGGGACACTCCCTGTCCCCAGTGGGCAGGCTCAGAATGCAGGGCATCAGGTGACAGAGAGGACAAACCCTGACTACTCTGCCTTGTGGATCACAGAGCACCCTCTAACACCGCAAATGCTCTTGTGCGGGGGCTGCCCCTGGTGGGGGTGGGAGGCACAGAGGGGGTCCTGGGGATTGGCATCAGGGTGGGTACTGCCTGCCCTGTGGGTGACTGTGCTAAGAAAATGGCTGTAGGCCAGCCTGTGGGAAACCAGGAAACGAACTGTGTGGGTGAGAGAGAGAGAGAGAGAGAGAGAGAGAGAGAAGAGAGAGAAAGGCCAGGATTACTGTGTGGGTGGGTATGAAAGAGAAAGAGATGGGAAAAGGAAGGAGGACGGAAAGTGGTTCGGTCTGAACGTAGGTGTGTCGCAGTGGGTGTGCAAGAGGGGATATGCCTGTAAAAGAAAGTGTGTGCATATGCAAGAGAGATGTCAAAGTGTAGGTATGTGAGCAGGAGAAAAGGGAGAGAAGAGCATGCTTTTAGCCTGTGTCTAAGGGAGGGAGTCTGTGTGCTTGTATGTTTCAGTGGGACTACAGCTATGTATGCAAATATGCTGCACGTGGAAATTAGGCAGGCGTGGGTCAGGGCACTCTGTGGGAGGGTGTGTGTGGATGCACACCTGTGCACGATGTCTGGGTGTCTGAGGGCATGCACATGTATGCAGATGTGAGTGTACACCATGTTTGCATAACGGCATGGTGTGTATACACCATGTGTGTTTCCATGCATGTTTATGAGGGTGTCAGTGTATATGTGTGAGTACACATGTGAGGTGTACAGGAACCTGTGAGCCCTGCTCCTAAACCGTCGCCCTCCTATCATGGTCACCACAGTGGGGGTGTGGGAAGAAAAGTGGGTGGCGTCCTGGCTCTCTGACTGCCTTTTCTCCCACAGGGCTGAGGGTCGGGGCCGTGTCCTTGGCCCAGTGACCACTGCCAGCTCTCATCATGGGCACAGATTCCTCTGCCTCAGCTAGACAGGCATGGTCAAGGGCAGGGCTCATCTGACAACCCAGATCCACACCCTTGTTCCCACCCCAGAGGCTCCCGCAGTGTCTTCCAGATACCCCAAGCCCCCAATAACAAGTGGCCTTCAGGGGAAGGAAGGTGGCTTTTCCACAGCCACGAGTGGAGGAGGAGCTAAGTCTCCCTGAGTATCTCCAAGGGGGAGGGAAGACGGTTTGGCAGAAGCCCCCAGCATCCCCCAGAGCCTGAACAACCTTTTCCCAGCCCCAGGTGGGTGGAAGAACACAGCCTGCTGCCTCGTCTCCATGGAGACAAGGCAGCACAGAGGGTGGTGGAAAGCATGGCCAGACCTCCCAGCTCCTCTACCCACAGGCCTGAGACTCAGGACAAGTCACATAGACTCAGTTTGCCTTAGTTTTCTCATCAGTGAAACAGAGATAAAAAAGAAGTGTGAAATGAAGTAACCCATGCAAAGCATTTAGCGCAAGTCTGGCAGCTGAGCTGCCAGGCAGAGGCCCTGGGTTCCAGCTCTAGCTTTGCCACTAATTTACTATTGACCTTGGACAAGTTACTTCCCATCTCTGGGCTTCAGAGTCTCCACAAGATCATCTACACAGTAATCTCAACGAACCCCTCCAGGATGACCCACTGCGACTCTGCGGAGAGGACAGCTGCAGTGTGGGGCTCTCTTGGTGAGCTGTGGACTTAGTAGTGCTGCCTGAGGCCTGACTGTGAGCCCTACCTGACACCTTCCTCCCCACATATATTCTCCCAAGTTGGCGGCAGGCGATGGCAGAGACCTTGAGCTGCTGCCCACCTCATCTCTCTCTATCCCCTGACCATCCAGCCTACCAAGGACCACACTCTGCCCTGCTCAGCTGGTACTCAGGCCTTAGAGAAATGGCCCTGGTACTCACCCATCCACCCCAAGTGGTGGGTGTCCAAGGCAGAAGATGTCATGGCCCGTACTTACAGCTGTCAGGGAGCACTGAAGAGAGGCGGTTATAATGTGGAAGGCTGGGTGTAATTGTCTGAAGATACTTATAATCCTCTGCCGGTAATGGGAGGAAGTTTTAAAAGGAAGCCCTAATCTGTTAATAACCTGGCAGCTCCTCAGGCCTCTTCCCTCTGGGTCTCCAGGCAGAAAGAAGGTATTCTGGCCACTCCCTTTCCAAAGGGAGCAGAAAGACCAATGTGGGCTCTGACCCAAGAGCGCCCGATTTCCACTCTCCTGCGAGACCCAGCTTCCTCCCTGCTTCCACCTCTGAGAAGCCTTCCCAGCCCAGTCCACCCCCTGAGACTACTGCCTCCTCTGTCCCTAGAGATGCTCAGGACAGAACTGGATGGCCATCTGGCTGCATGTTCATGAGGGGAATGAACCAGGCTGTGCGGCAAGAAGAACGTGATCATAGTCTCAGCTCCCACCCTGACTGTGACCTTGGACCAGGGACTTCGATCTCTGAGCCTCAGCTGCATCACCTGTACAGGGGGGAATCCCTGCCTTGAGAGGCGGCAGTAAGACCAGAGAGAATGTGATACTGTGAAGTGACCTGGTCCCTTCTTCTCCTTCCTCCAGCCATGTCCCTCCACACCAGGTGTTGGCAGATGCTTTCCCCTCATAAATCCAGAATAAAGTGGTGGCTCAGGCCAAAGCCCCTTATTTCAAAAAAGCTGTGACTGAATCACAGCTCAGCAGCTTGCCAACCATCAGTCTCGGACAACTCACTCCCATTCTCTGATCCTCGGTCTCCTCGTCTGTGTGTAGGATACACGAACAGTATGTCCCTAATGGGGTCGTGATGAGTTAAAATGAAATGACATGCGTAGAGCTCTTAGCACAGAGGGCTTGGCAAATACAGGCTTAGCAAATAATTGCTATTGGATTCCTGAGTTGATGACGAGCATTTTAATGATTGTCAACATCTTCACATGCTTTTCTAGATTACTCTCATATTTCCAAGACATCGCCCCGTCTAAGATCACCGCAACCTCACAACAGCTTCGTGAAGTAGATGGGGCTCGTGTGTTTATCATATTTTGACGGATGAAGAAACTGAAGCTCGCCAGGGAGAAGGGGTTTGCTGGGACTTGGCTGGTTGACATCAGTTATAGAACCAGCTACCCGAGTCTCCTGGCTCCCAGCCATGGGCTCTGAGGGAAAGGAAGCAAGTCCCGGGCTTCCAGGCTCCAGGGAAGCTGAACTGGGGGTGACTCGGGTGCCAGGGCCCCCCTCTCTGCTGCCTCAGGTGCCTTGAAGGCCCCTCCTTGCTTTTGCCCGGCTCCCTGTTTGACCCAAGTGTGGGCGGTGGTGGGGGTGGCCGTGGGGGGAGATCAGAGGCTGGAAAGAATTATTTCAGAAAAAGAGAGTGGGCAGGATGGCTGGTGAGACGCCAGCCGGGGCGTCAGCAACGCCTGCAGAGAAATGAAGTGTTCCTTCAGTTTTCTGACGCATGAGCCCTCCCAGGTCTGAGCGAGCACGGCCTGGCTCACATCCTCCCCATCTGGACCCACTTCAGGGTTTCCAGGGCCCGGCAGTGGAGGTGATTCAGTGTCGTGTCCCTGACCCGCCCTGCTCCGCTGACTCCTGCCACCTATTATCGCCCTCCCTTCCTTCCTCCTTCCCTTCCTTCAGGGCCGCTCACACAGAGCTCTCCCCTACCCGTGGGGGTCGGGTCCTCACTGCAGCCCAGGGGTCCTGCCTCTGTCATCTCTAACAGAGGGAAAACTGAGGCCTGGATGAGGAACGTGGGTCTAGCTGGGTCACTGACAGGCCAAGTGACCTGGTCCTTAACTTCCTCACTCTGGGTCTCCGTTTCCCACCTGTAAAATGAGGAGGCCAGAGTAGATCAGTCTGCGGTCTCTACTGCTAAGCTTCACGAGGGCAGCAACCAGGTCTGTGTTGCCCAGTGCCGTGTCCCCAGCACCCTGGAGTAGCTGGAGCTCAGTACCTTCCACAAGACAGTCCCGCCCCATCAACTGTCCACACCCCACCGGCGTTGGTTAGCACCAGTGATTAAAGGGCAGACAAAGCAAGAGGTGGACTTGTCTCCAGCTAAGCAGGACAACACAGCTTTCTCTCCCGGCCTTTTCACATGCCCCCTTTGGCGGACAGACGACGGACTTAGAGGTGGAGCAGCTGGAACTGCACATAGCTCACAGCCTCCCTGTATGTCCAGGGCTGTCCGTCTGGATGTGCTGCGGGGCTGCAATGGCCTGTTACGCATCATGGGAAAACACGGTCAGGAGCCCCTGGGTTAAGGACCTGTGGGGTGCCCTGTGACCCCAGCAGTGCAGAAGAAAAGGGACATGAGCTTACCTGGTTTCTGAGGAATCCTGGGCCCGGAGCTGGGGCTGGGGCTGGGACTGGCTGTTATCACCTGCCGGGCCTTCACCAAGTCCCAGTCCTGGCCGGCCCTGTCGGCATGCTGGGGCCCCCTCCGTGCCTCCTTGGAGCAGCTGGGTGGCTGGATGCCCAGGGCTTTGGGCAACTCTGGTGCCCCTTGGGTGGTTCTGCAGGCGGAGTTGTCCCCACTCCTGCTGGCTGTCTTGTCCTCCTCCATGTCCACGGGCCCTGCCTCTCCCTGCAGGCCCTCCTCACCACTGCTCTCCTCAGCTTCCAAGGCCAGACACCTGTAGCTCCCATCAGGGATCCGGAAGGCGCAGGGGGCAGGCCTGCCTTCGCTGGGTCTACTCCCCAGGGGTGGGGGTGGGAGGTGGGGGCCCAGCATAGTGCTGCCTCTGCTCAGGGGCGCTGAGAAGCTGGCGCTCAGGCGGGGGCCCGCGTGCCTGCGTGCGTCCTGGTCTCCTCTCCTCTCCAGGTCTCCTCTGGCTCTCTGCAGCTTGACTTCCTTAGGCGACTCACAGAGCTGGGCGACGGCCAACGGCGAGCCTTCCGGGGCTGAGAGGGCCCCCAAGCCCTCCTTCTTAACCCGTCTCTGGTCAGCGAGGTCCCCCCTTCAAGACGATCTGTCTGCACAGAGAGAAGAGAAGCAGCACATGAGACAGCTCACTGGCTGTTTGGAGCTGAATTCCTGAGGCCTATCCGTTCACCTTAGAGCCGCCCCTAGACCTGGCTGGGTCCCGGGGTCCAGGTCCCATGCACATCCGCGGGGAAGTCTCAAGCTTCAGTCACTCAGCGTCTCCAGGTTTGGCCATATCCTTATGCCATTTGACACTTTATTTGCTCGGTATTTTTCTGTAAATCCACTTTAAATAACTTACTTTTATTACTTTGGACTTAAGCAATAATTGCAGGAAAACCACAAGAATGTTGTGCTAAGTCGTTTTTCCCAATACACATTAAATAAATAGCTAGTTATTTAAAAATACTTATCTGGGCACCCCCTGGAAAGAATTGTCTGACATGCCACCAAAGGTACATACACCACAGGAATCTCGGGAACAGGGGAGCAGAGGGCGCAAGACTGGGGACGGGGACCCCTGAGAAGGCTGGGCACCAAGTGAGCCGGTGCAGCGACGTGCCTACACGACAAGCTTCCAGCTGGAATCCCAGCTCTGCTGCTCGCGTGATGGGCAGCTAGCCATGTGACCTCTCTGAGCCTCAGCTTTCCCATCTGTAAAATGGGAACTATAATATCTCCAGTATAGTGCAGCATTGACAATTCAGTGAGAAAAATGCACGCAGAGGACTTAGCACAGTTTCTGAGATGCAACTTAATACATTGGCTATTCTTTTATTTCACAAAATTTCTTGTGCTCCTATCACATTCCAGACACTATAAAAAGCACAGGGAGTACAGTGGAGATAAAGAAGATATGACACTCTGGCTCACGAAGACTTAAAATCTGGTGGTGCGGGGAGCATGATTATTTAGAAATGTTAACCATGATAATAGTCCGGGAGAGGGGGGAGGGAGCTTCCTCGCAGGAAGCGAGGAGGGGATGGGTGGATGGGAGAGAAACTTGGGTGGAAGAGCTGGCTGGGCTGGGAGGCAGATGGAGAGTGGGTGTGGAGGAAGGGGGAGGAGTCTGGGATGCAGCTCTGGTGACAGTGTGCTGTCGTGCTTTTCATTACCAGAGACCAGCAATAAATGGGAAGGAGCCGCGGAGCAGGTGTTCAGGGGAGCAGGGAGATGCAATTGATTTGGGATTTCCGGGGGAGATGAGCCTACAACCGCCTCCACCTGGGGGCCTGGAGCACAGGGGGCGGTTCCAGGCTGGACACAATGGTGAGCAGATCATTCGTGGAGGCACAGGAGGTGGACCAGATGCCCCAGGACAGGCAGGTAGAGCTTCAGACGAGGCCAATGGGAGGAACCCTCGGAATCTGCAGATCTCGTGGAACAGATCTTGATTCCACTGCTTCTCAGCCGTGTGAACTCTGGCTAGTACGAACATTCTGAACCTCGTCCTGCTGCAGACGGGGAGAGAAGAACCCCGCACACACTCGTGCCCTGGCTGCCCCATGGGCAGTGAGAACCCTGAGAACTGGGAACACCTGTGGACACTGGTGACCTCAGGGCCTGGGCTAACCTCAGCTGCATTGGTACTTGACCTGGAGGCCACGCCTCCGTCCCCAGGCACTCCACCCCCACCCCAGCAGGCTGGGTCTAGGCCTCAGCTTCTGGTTGGAGCGGTGCCAGGAAGAGTCTGGTAGGCAAGAGGAAAGATAAGCGCATTACCAGGCCCTGGGGAAAATCAATGCCAACCAGGGGAAGGCAAACGAGTATCCGGATCAGAAAGATAACAGGCACCTGTTACTGTAGCCTCGGTGACGCAGAAATCAGTGCAGAGAAGCCAGCCTTCTGCCTGGAGAAGCATGTGCACTCACAAGACTGAATGCTTGTACCCTGCTGGGTCATGCACTGAGGTTATCCAAGCAAACCCTCACAACAGCCCTGAGAGGGGTGCTGTTATTATTACCCCATTTTAGACACGAGGAAACTGAGGCTCAGGTAGGCAAAGGGGCTTTGGCCTTAGTCGCAGGGCCGGGAGCGGACCCCTGCTCTGACTCCGTAGCTGCGCGGGCCAGCACAGAAGAGGCCTCATTCCTCCAGATTCTTTCTCACCAGCTGCTGCCAGATTTCTGCCATCAGAATCTTAAAAGCTCACAAAGGGCCAATGAATTCTGAAAATCCCTCACTGGCTGTGTGACCTCGGGCGGGTGTCTTCTGCACTGTGGAGTCAGTTTGCCCAAAGGCACAACGGTGGGGTTGGGACAAAGGACGTTGTGAGGGGGGGGTTCTGTCTAGCCCTGGCACTGCAGGGTGCCGTGATTCTAAGCACTTGGAGCCCCCCACCCCGCCGCCCACAGCACCACAGGGACAGATGGCAGGAGGCAGGAGGAGTGGGCAGGGGGGCAGGCCCCCTCTGATGCCCCGCAGGGGCCCCGCCATGCTCTGTCCCTGCTTCTGTTTTGCTGTATTTGATGGTGGCCACGGTTTCCAGGAAAGAAGAGAGAGGCGGAAAAGCTAACTTTCCGCCACCCACACAAATATTTTTGGCCGGCGTTGTCTTCATGTTGCCAAGCGTGGAGGGAGGGGTTGGCAGGAGCTCTTCGATTCAAGTCTCCCTCTTGGGGAAAGGGGGGCCTGGGCAGGCCCCGTGTGGGTCCGAGACCTGGAACACCCACCCAGCTCAGGAGCTGGGGCCAGGTGGAGGTGGGGAGAGGCGTGACCCATAACTGCAATGGCAGCTGCCACTGTCTGAGCATCTGCTAGTGCTGGGCCAAATTTACTACCTGACACTGCCTGTGGGGCAGGCGTGTGGGTGCTGCCTACAGATGGGGAGACTGAGGCATGGAAGAGCACAGTCCGTATCCAGAGCCACACGGATGGGGAGTGTAGGGCAGGGTGTGACTTGGGCCGCTGAGCCCTGTGCTCTTACCCCTTGCTCTCACTGCAGACTGACTCTGGGGACCCCACAGCCCCTGGGGTTGCAGGTCAGACACCGCACGCATGTCTGTGTGGGCACATCTTCACTGTGGGCAGCAGAGGCTCCACTCCGGCCTCAGCAGAAATGAGAGCAGGGTCCTCTAATGCTAGCTCCCCCAAATCCACACCCCTCATCCGGCCATAGGCTCTAGACGTAAGCCTGGGCAGGAGGGCCGATGGAGTCAGCCGACTCTCGGCCCCCATCCCAGAGAGGTGGACGGGCTCACCCAGGCTGCACAGCAAGTCAGACTCAGGCCTGGCGCTCGAACCCAGGTGGAGCCCAGCCACCCGCTCCTGCTCCTCACGTAAGCCCTGCTCCCCGTGAGCCATCAGCTTCCCCTCCTCACTCCCCTGAGCTTCCAGGAGCCCAAGCAGGGTTCCCAGGACTGGAGGCCTCTTGGTGGGGCTGGAGGCAGGAAGACCAGGATGGGGGTAAGAGGCTGGAACATACAGGGATCTGCGTGCGCAGAGCGTTTTAGACCGATTTCCTCTGCCCCGGCACAGCGCCAGGCACACAATAACAACAACAACGATAACAGCTAACGTTTGTGCAGTGCTCACGACGTCAGGTGCTATTCCAGACACTTAGCATGCATCAGTCTGCTCCTCATCACAACCCTATAAGGAAGGTGCTATTATTGTCACCGTTTTTACAGATAGGAAATCAAGTTTACGTGACTTGCCAAGTTCACACAGCCAGTAAGTGACTGAGTCAGAGTTCACATCCTGAGAGTCTGGCTGCAAATATCACTCTCATCCATAAGGCTGTGCTGCCTCAATAGTTCAGGCAGTTACTGAATGAATGAGTGAATGAATGAATGAATGAGAAGGAAGGATGGGAGGACCAAAGGATGGGAAAGAGAGAGGGAGGAGGTTATCTCCGGTGCCTTGTACATTGCCTGGCACATACTAGTCACTCAATAAGTATTTATCAGGTAGAATAATGAATGCAGGGTGGCTGGGGCATTAACTGTGCACAGCCTAGGGGCAAAAATGGAGTTAACCTGGGGAAAGGTGTAACTCAGAACTGGTCCAGATGACTCAAGGTGCACCTACAGACCCCACCTGTCAGGCAGCACCTTGGCATCAGGAGTGGGGTGGGGAGTAGTGTCTGGCCTGTCCAGAGTTGAGTTTCCCCTGCCGCTGGGAAGGGAGCTTCCCTTGTCCCCAAGAATCTGAGCTAAAAGTATATGTTCCTGCCTCAATATTTCTCTCTCACGAGGGGATGGGAGCCAAGGTGGGGGTCTCTTCCCCCTGACTCCGAAGCTCCTCCACCCCATAGAACTGGAGAACGCAAGGAAGCCTGGCACTGGCGATGACTTTGCTATGTGTTCTTGGAAGAGTCCCTTCCTTTCCATGGGCCTCCGTTTCCCCAGCTGAAGAAGACCTTGGGTGGAGCGGCTGGTGGGACTGAGAGTCACCAAGGCTGAAGCTCTCCCTGAATCCCCTGGGACCCGCCCCGTCCCAGAATTTCCCAGAGTCAGTCCCACAGGGATGTGCCAGCATGACCCCCCGTGACTGACCCCTCCTTTTAGTCCTGCGTGACAAAATGACCAACCCTGGCCTCTTTCCTGCCTGCCTCAGCCTCCAGCCACCACCACCTGGGCTGTCCAGTGGCCCTGACCTCTCCTCCTTCCTCCCTACTTCACTCCTGCCCTCTGTTCCCGTGCACCTCCTGGGTCAGAAGGGGTGTCAGGTGAAGCTAGGGGGAGCTCTGGATGCATCAGGAAACCAGTCCTTGGCAAGAGGTAGCTGCGAGGGGTGGGGAAGGACCTAGCCAGGATGCGGGGTGGTCTCAGGAGGGGTGAATGTGCACCAGACCTCCGTCTAGCATCATGACAGCCGGGTGA